TTAGGTTGTAAACAATCTTAGATAATACAATGGTTTGTTCCCTTCCAAAATGCTCAATCATACTTACCAACTTGACTTCCATAGCACTAACTTTATCACAAGGGAAAATCACAGTTACTAATTTTCAGATAAATTTTATTTTTCTCCTTAGGGGAAAAAATGTGATAGAAAATAAAACTTATGAAAAACTGCTTGAGGGGGTTTTAGGAGTAAAGTACCATCCAGGACTGTTGTACCCTGTGTACTATGTGTAGTTAAATTAAGAATATTCGTTACAAGCTGTTTGGATCCAGAAAGTGATTACAGTAAATTCCTGGCTACATTTATTCTGTCATTTCACTGTCTACAATGGACAAGACCAGAAAACAGCCTTGGTCATTATTATCCGTTTTTTTCTTGGACTGTTTCAGGAATGTAACATATTGACACATGCAATGAAAAAGTATTTTGTTAAAATTTGTTAAGATGCTCAGATAAATCCCAAACATACTGTGGGGATGACTTTCTCAGGGTAAATGAAATGTTAATAAATTTGTTTTCCCTCAAAGTTAGTGATGTTGTTTGATATAAACCAATTTGAAATCTTTCAAATGCCAACAGAGTATCATAATGAGCATACACTGTCAAGCTCAAGAAAGGCCAAGTACAAGATGCTCTCATGTCTGCTTTCAGTAAAGATTTGATGTCTTTTAAAAATAAGAGCTATTTTTCCTTATCCCTGTTTGTTTATGAGAAAGAATATCGTTAATGCTTATGAACTGCTATGAATATAAAAAATAAGAAGCCCCAAATACAAATTAATTGTTCTTTGTACTTTTTTCTCACTTAGAAGTGTGTATGGCAGGGCGAGGGGGGGGGGGGCAGGGGGGGATCTCTTAAGCTCTAAGCTCTTAGTCCTGTTTTTGCTGGCACCCACTTCCAGACATTGAGGCCCGTTACCTACCACCCAATATAACCTTTAGCCCTTTCCATCTTAGAAAAAGAGAGGTCAAGAGTTGTTTTTTTTGTTGTTTTTTTAAGTTGCCTTCCACCTTTCTAGTATATCAGATCTGACTCGAGTAAATGTTGTTAGGCTATAATTAGGCTTTTTTAATTTTAATTTTACTCTTTATTTTTAAAAATGGCAGTGTTTCAAACTGGATATGAAGAATAAAAGAACGATCATCCAAAAGTAGAATCATAAAACATTTAAAAGGACTATTGGGAGAAGTAGTGTTTATTTTTTTTAAAAGGAGATGTGTAGACTAAAAACACAGAAAACATTTTCCAATACAAACAGTGTAGTTTTCAGTAGTAATAGTTTTTAGTAGGAAATACCTACAGTGATATTTGTTGTCAGGAAAAACTATCCTATTCATCATCCTTTACTATTACGTTGAATAGAATTCTTTCAAAGGGCTTTAGAATTTTGGAAGAAAAATAGATTCTATGAATACATAATTTTATTTTTCCTTCTCTAATTTGTTGTTTTAAAAAGAATACGCACTGGGCACCTGTGGCTCATGCTTATAATCTTAGCATCAGGAGGCTGAGCTCTAAGGACCAAAACCAGCCTAGGTAGCAAAGTCTGTGAGACTTATTCCAATTAGCCACCAAAAAGTGTAAAAGAAAAAGCCAAAAGTGAAGCCATGGCTCAAATGATAAAGTGCCAGCCTTGAGCAAAAAAGCCCAGAGACAATGCCCAGGTCCTACATTCAACCCCAAGTGCCAGCACACACACACACACACAACACACACAAAAAGAGTGCCCAAAAGCTGGGCACCAGTGGCTCACACCTGTAACCCTAAGCTACTCAGGAGGCTGAAATCTGAGGATCACGGTTCAAAGCCAGCCCCGGCAGAAAAGTCCGTGAGACTCATCTCCAATAAACCACTAGAAAACCGAAGGTGACGCTGTGGCTCCAAGTGGTAGAGCACTCGCCTTGAGCTGAAGAGCGCCCAAGCCCAGAGTTCAAGCCCCACGACCAACAAAAAAAAAAAAGCCCAAAATAAGATGACTAAAATTTGTCTAGATATAATTTTCTATATCTCAATATAATAATAATGACAGCAATAGTATAATTGTCATATAACAATTATACTATAGTTACTATACTAATTATAGATAATGGTAATGATACTACTAATATCTTGTGCTTTGTTGTTAGGCTGTTTTGTAAAAATTTGGATAACTCCTTAGGCTTTCTGTAGTCTAGTGCTATGAATGCCACCAGAGCTTGTGACCTGAATCACTAAGCATTTTTAGCCATCTAAGCAACCACTTGACATAACTGGCCCAAAAGTTCTGATTTGCATTAATAACTTAAATATACATTGAAAGTTGCTGTCCCTGGGGCAATTCTTTGTGAATTCTACTTGCTAAGGTGCAAGTAACCCAGAAACTTAAAGAGCTAGGTTTTCTTTTGTTAAGCTCAACCATCTGTTTGAAGCATTATCCCTCTTTTATTTCTGTGAATGTAATCTGAAGATGTCCTATTTCCTACCTTTATTACCAGCTTCAGTCTAACCAGTGGAGTTCATCCCTCTAACAAATGAGCCAGCATCACTCCTTTGTCACAAATTACCAGTTAGTCTGCTGAAATTAGTCATTAGACTCAAATATCATAGATTTCACTTACCAACCATTTATTTCACTCCAAAAACCCCATTCCATTTGGTTGCATGACCTTGACTTTCTTCCTCAGTTAAACACTCTAAATTTATTATTTATTTACTTACTTATTGCCAGTCCTGGAGCTTGAATTCAGGACTTGGGCACTGTTCCTGCGCCTCTTTGTGCTCAAGACTAGAGCTCTACCACTTGAGCCACAGTGCCACTTCTGGCTTTTTCTGAATAGTTTTATTGGAGATAAGAGTCTCACAGACTTTTCTGCCAGCACTGGCTTTGAATTGCAATCCTCAGATCTCAGCCTCCTGAGTAGCTAGGATTGCACTGGCTTCTGGCTTAGACCCTTGATATGTAGCCTAAGGTATCTATGAACTTTGGATCCTCCAGCCTCCGCCTTCTCAGTGTACCTCTGCACACAGCTTCTCATGTTATTCTTTATGTAGCCCTCTCTCCAAACCAATAATCCTCTAGTCCTCTAGTCACCAGAGAAATCCTGTCATTCTGGTCTGGTGAGGAATAGTGATAGAATCTTCCTGTGGCCTTTTCATAACTTTAATGATCCCCCAACCATGTATTAACCTACACAGCACAGAACTTTTTATTCATTTTTATTGTAGGAAGGGAAACAAGAGGTGTGTCAGTCACATTTTTTTCCTTCAAGCACATAGGAGAGAGACAAAGTAGTAGTGATTCTCATTTAGTGTGACAGTGATTCTACTAATCCCTACACTGGTTAGGAACATAGTATCAAGTACATTATTATTTGGGCAAGAGATATCAAGTAAGACAACAATTACATTTTTCTTTTTGAGAATACTTTTACAAGACATAGAAACAATTCGCAAAGTATTTAAACTCTTCACAGATCACATTATTCAAATTATATTTCTAAGATTAGAACTATACACTGACAAAGACCAGAACAAGTTAATCTAGTTAGTGAATATTCACAGAAGTCTTCATACTGCACAGAACACAAATTTCAATATTTTTTTTGCACGTGCTCACAATGACAAGCAGAAAGCAGGGCTGTAAACATCAATTTTGTCAGTAGGCCGAAATGGAGAAAGGAACAGGATTTTCCTCACACAGTGAAATAAGGAGCATATACCATAATCTCCCACATTTATAAAGGACACTACTAGAATCATATAGAGAAAACACCCAGACTAGTATTAATAAAATTCTGCTTGTGAATTCAAGGAGTTAGGAAGAACTGGAGGCCCATCTGCTCTGAGCATCCCATTTGATTCTCCCACCTCCACTGACAAAGTGCCTCAGGCTCTGCCCTTCCCCCATCAGAAACCCTGCAGGGCATCTTTTCCTGTGGGCCTGGGGAAGCTTGCTTTCTCCACCTCTTCGTCTAGGCCTTTACTTAGATTCCAGCCTACAGCCATCACCCATTGATTGTGCCCAAACCCCTGGAGAGCTGAGGGCAAAGCCTTCAAGGTGGGAGAGGAAAAGTGAGGGCTGAGGGTCACACCACCACACCCCTTCCTTCACATTAAAACTGCCCCAGCAGCACTGAGACACAGGGACTTACCCTGGAAGCCCAGACTTCCCATGTTCCCTCATTCCCTTCATCCTCCAGAGGAACCCTGGGGTCTACCCACGATGCCAGCTGCACGCAGCCTATGCCCTCCTTTGTGAAGATAAATGCAGGGAAGGAAATGCAAAAGCTGCCAAGTGAGAGCTCCGAAGGCCAGGCAGTAGGATAGAGCCAGTAATGAGATAATACAGACCAATACAGGCCAGAAATGCTGTTGTTAGATCATTTCTGCAGCCCAAAGGTCCAAAGAAAAAGAAAAGGCTGGCATCCTTAAGAAAAGTGAAAGGAATTCTTAGTTGCTTTAGTTCACACCCTCGGGCTGGGGGGAGGGGGGTTTTGAACCCATCACCTGCTCTGCCTGGTTTGGTTCTCTGTGTGAGCTGTAACTGCTTCCAAGAAAGGAAAGGAAGAAGAGGGAGGGGGGATAGGAAACCATATTTCTCAGTGCCCCTAACTCGTGCAACTTTGTCATGACCAGAGAGGGTGTGGAAGAGGCAAAGGAAGGACTATCTATAGTAAGGGTGGCTCGTTGTAGGGCTGAGAAAGAACACAGGTTCAAAGTGACTCAGCCAATTGGATTTGTGGGAAATCGGGGCGGGAGGGTCCTGTATGCTGCCTGGAAGCCTAAGTCCATAGGTAGTTCTGAGGCAGCCCAACACAGGCCTCCATAATCACCAGTAGCCGATCATGATGCACAGTAAACTAAAGGTACAAGAAGACCAACATGGTAACATAAAACTCACGTTACTTCACTCATGCCTAGAAATCACACACACACACACACACACACACACACACACACACACACACACACACACACACACACACACACACACACACCCTCCCACCAGCCTCCTGCTTGTCCTACCAGATTAACAAGCAGGATAGATAGAAACAGCCAGCAAAGCAGCTGGACCCAACTTAGTGGCTGCCTGGACTGTGCAGTTGGGGTTGATGGCTGGGTTGGCATGTCAGTTTCATCTTGCAGTGGTGAGACTCAAAGAGCTTGTCGTCGTTGCCAGGACATCAGGAGCAGAGCCGGCCATAGCACATGAAGCCAGGCTGGTTATTCATAAAGATGGGTCGCGCTTCCTCGTGGCAGAGAACCACGTCGACAAACGGGGAGCAGACCACCGTCACAGACAGGGGGGGGAGGGGTCCAAGCCATGCAAAGGAGAGCAGTCCGAACCATCCGGAGCTTGGCAATAAAAGCAGGAGAGGCCAAGCACTCGGAACGCGCTAGCTGTGATGCGGAACAGCAGGAAAAAGTGCAGAGGAAGAAGAGCACAGGCGTCTGTACACTGATCATCGACAGTCCGACCGTCTCAGCATCAACGGCTGGAGACCTGGAACCACAGGACCACATTAACTCAGTAGGAGAGAACGCAGACTGAAGGGTGCATGCTGCCGGCCAAGCACGGGAGAGTGGTGAAGAAACGTGAGCGGGAGCTTGTCGGGAGGGCGAGGCTCATTTTAGCCAGACTGGAACCTGAAGGATCTGGGGCTCTCCACGGGCTGCCTCGGGGCGCCTCGAAAGCCTCTTCGGGGCCCTTCACCCATCAGGTAGTATTGCAGGGGGTTGGACCAGAGTTCGCCTTTGATGATCTCGGCGATCCTGTCGAACTCCAGGAGGCTGTGGTCTGAGAACCAGTTGAAGAAGCTGGGGATGGTGTTGCCCTCCCGGTTTCTGTGGATGTGAGCCTGGGGGTCCTGGCCCCGGTGCCAGCGGATGGGCGTGGACAGGGACACCACGCGGCCCGAGGATCGGCGCTCGTACTCCTTGACCAGCCCCTCGTTTCGGAAGTAGGGGTTGCTCTGGAAGATGAACTTGAATTTGCAGCCGGCTCGGGGGTGTTTGAGCTCCTCCACCTCCAGGTTGATCATGTACCTCATCATGTCTTCGTCCTGGCCGCTGATCATGGGCGACAGCTGAGGGTGGTTCCGAAACGCGGTGACCCAGAACCCCGGGATGTTCTGGATGATGAAGCTCCGGCGCTGCATGTGGAGCCTCCGCATCCGCCCGAATTTGCGCTCCAGCTGCAGAAAGGCCCGGTCGGCCTGGGCGTTGACGTTCGACAGCTCCTGATCGATGGCCTCGAGCGAGTCCATGCAGGTGTTGATCTTCGGGGCCCGGGCCCGCGGCTCCTCCTTCCCGCCCGCCGCCGCCTTCTTCTCCTTGGGCGCCGCCTTCTTCTCCTCGGCCGCCGCCGCCGCCGCCGCCGCCTCGCCCTCCGCGGCCGCCGCGGCCGACATGGCGCCCTTCTTGGTCGTGGTCTCCTTGGCCTTGGCTCCAGGGATCCTCGGGGCCCCCGACCCCGCGGCGCCGCAGGCTTCCAGAGCCTTGCGCCCGGCGGGGCTGCGCGGCTCGCCATCTTTCGGGCTGGGGTCATCTTTCTCCGCAGCCGCAGTGCCCGAGGCGGCCGCGCCCGGGCCCGGGGATGGGGGCTCGGCATCCCCCGGCCCCTCTCTCGGGACGGCGGCGCCGTGATCGCCGGCGGTAGCCGGGAGCGCGGGGCCGTGGTCCCCCACGGGATCCCGGGGCGCGCCGCCCTCCGCAGCGGCCTCCTCCGGACCGCGCTCACCTGAGTCCGCCATCACCGGCGCCGCCTCGCCGACGCCCTGGCACCGGTTTAGATTCGGATCTGCCGGCACATCGCCGGGAGCCGTGGCTTGGGCGACGGGGAGCTTGGTGCCCCCATCCAGGCCGCTCATTTTGGTGGATGTCAGACCCGCAGCGGCCGAGCAGCGAGCGTTCCCGGTCCTCTGCGGTAAAGCGGCGCTGCTGCAGTCAGCCCCTGGCGCCGCCCCTCGCTGCCTCCAGAGCGGCGCTGCCATGGCAACCGGTGACGTCAGGGCCGTAGCATCTCTCTCCACTGCGCCAGAACGCGGCGCGCCGGTGCCCGGGCCTGTCCGTCCAGCCTCCCCCCTTTGTCTGGTTTCAAGATGGGTTACGGATTCGGTCGTCTGGGAAGGAAATTTGATGTGCATAAATGGATGCGGAACAAACCCTAGCGTGTCAGGGCCCAGTTAACGTATAGCCCTGTATTTCTAAGGTTCCCGATTGATTGACGGGCGTCATTGTCCAGTAAATTCGGTTCATAAGGCTCTTTCCATAAAGAAAAATGAGGGCTCGCCAATCGCCAAGTCTCCTTCTTTAGAAAGGAAGGCCTTGGTAGCTGTTGCTAAAGAACTGCGATCAGGATTTGATGTTTTACATTACAAGTGAAGCATTGCTGGGTGGTGAAGATGTGTTCCACGAGTCACGGGGGTGAGCACAATTCAGGATGCTGCACCCTGCCTCTTATCAACAAATTGAATGCCTTAGCTTCCAACCCATCAGATTTGATTTGCTTTTTATAGCTCCCTGTTTCTTTCATAAAATTCAGATGGTATGCCATCGTACCTCATTTTTGAAATAAATCCAAGATCTTAGTTTTAATTTAAAGGACAAACAAAAGGAAAATAAAGCTGCCAATGCGACCTAATACAGTACAGGCGCATTGAACCAGAGACATAAACAACACCACTTTGAGTAGTTTAAAAAAAAATTCCAGACCTGGGTCTTGAACTCAGGGCCTTGGGCACAGTCCCTGAGCTCAAAGCTGGAGTTTTAACACTTGAGCCTCAGCACCATTTCCAGCTTTCTCTGTTTATGAGGTACTGAGGATCGAATCCAGGGCTCATGCATGCTGGGCAAGCGCTCTACCACTAAACCACATTCCCAGCCCCGTAAAATTATCTTGAATGATGAGAATTTATATGGTACATATCTTTTCAGTTCTAGGACATACTTTTATTTCACATCTTAATATTTTGAAATGACTGTCCACAGAGTAGCATCCTACAATTGCAGAAGAGCAGTCATAGTCTGAGTATGTGTGAACTTGCTTATTGTCTTCTTGACATTTCAATCTGATGGTACCAAGGTGTGTACCAGGGCCTTGTGCTTACTTGGCTTGTTCTGCTCAGTTGGTGCTCTACCACTTGAGCAAAGCATCAATCCCTGATTTGCTGGGTATTTTAGGGACAAAGTCAAGAAGATTTACTTGTAACATAGGAAAAATATCTAAGAGAAACACTTTTATAAAAAGGTGACATTAAGAAATGTCCTCACTAAAATTATTCAAGGTCCAAAGACAACATTTTTTAAAACCCAAGGACACCAAAAACTGTAAGTAAAGAGTGATTAAGGGCACTTTAAATGGGAAAATTAAACTAATGAAACTACTTCTTTCACACATAATTTACTTTTTACATACAGCCATGAATGATATAGGATAAAAATATTTTGAAGTCTTTATTTTCACGGAATAACAGTACGTTTTACAATTCATTTTAGAATTGATGAAATAAGAAATTTGTGTGGTGGGGGGAGGAGGTAGTAGTATTAGAGTTTGAACTGAGACCTTCACACTTGTTAAGCAGGTGTTCCAGTTTGCTTTAGTTACCTTTCAGATAGGGTCTCACAGAATTTGTTTTTCCCTAAATCAGCCTCTAGTGCACAGTCTTCCCACTCACATAACTAAAGAAATTGCTTTTTAAATGTATACCTGTAATCCAAGATTTTTAAAATACACCCTGTAATTCAAAATACTAGGGAGATGGGGGTAGGAGAATGGGTGTCTAAGGCTGGACTCAGGCAAAAGTAAAACCCTGTTTTGAAAAATAAATGAAAAAAAGAGCTGGAATGTGACTTAAGTGATAGTAAGCATGAAATTCTGACTTTCAAACCAGTTTTGCAATTTCTATTTCTATCTCTCTATCTATATATAGAGAGATAGAAATATTTGAGAGATAAAAATAGATATATAGATACATAGAGATAGAAATCTATATATATACATAGAGAGAGAAACTTGGAATGTTGTTTTCATACACAGTGCTAGGTTCTAAATGTAAATAATAGTTTTCATCCAATGAAGATTTAACAGTAAATACTTTTATACAAGGAATTATCCTGATGTGGAGCATCTCAACACCCTTAATTTACTAAAAATGCCCCCCATTTACTATAAGAAACAAAATGACTCTGGTGACTGTGTCATGAGGGGGTACACACATTGCACACACACAAATACACACAAATCTGTTTCTAAAACGCTTATAAATATGGTATTCCTAGTCCTGGTCACTAGAGGGAGCAAGTGATCTTTACGATAATATGATTCTTGTATGTGTGTCTTGTTGAAGTTGCTCTACAGAAAATATTTACGGTAATTATGTATACATGGCTGCACATGCACATAAATTATGTGTCCATGTGTGTACTATACATACAGCCAGCCATTCAGCCCTGAGTTACAGAAAATGATATGTATTTTTATATGTATTTTTTAATTGGAGATAAAAGTAAAGGATTAGCTTAGAGTTTAGTTGAATTCTTTTTTTCATTTTGGTTTGTTTTTACATTTTTTTGTTTTGTTTTGGACCTCTTATTTTGAATTTAAGATGTCTGTGTTGCTGAGATAAAAAAAAGTTTGTGGCTCTTAATGATTCCCCTCATAAACACACACTAAAAGTTTCTTTCGAAAACTGCAGTGCTTTCACTGGATTTTAAATAAACTAAAAGTTTTCTTGGCTATCCAAAAAATAAAATACAAGGCTAGAAGAATGGCTCAACAGAAGAGTGTCTGCCTAGCAAGTGCAAAATCTTGAATTCAAAGAGTAGGGCCACAAATAATAACAAAAACCTAAAATATTTATGGTAATTACAGACCATAGAGTTCACTGAAAGAATTACGGATGGCTTTTCAACATAAATTTGATGCTATTAAAAAAACAGAGTCATAATCCGTATCCAGTCTACCACTGCTACAAATTTCTCCACAGGCTGGTTTGTGATGCCTCCCCAAAACAACAATCTCATATGGCTCTTCTTTCCCCAGTCTTAAAAGGAAATGGGACAAGGTCCCTGACCTGCATGACCTCAAACTTGTATAGGATGCAGTGGGTTGTTTGTTTTGATTGTTGTTGTTTGTAGTACTGGAGATCAGCCAGGGCCTTGTATATGGTAGGCAAAATGCTTTTACTCAGCTATATATACCCTAACCCAAGACACATATTTTGAATCCATCTGGTTTTAAGGCCCATATCTGCTACTTGTGATAAGGGTAAATCACTTCTCAGGGCCACATTATTATATAAAATGAGTGTAATAATATGAAACTTAGAGAACTGTCATGAAAATAAAATGTGGTATCTGTAAAGTATTTGTCAACATGTATGATAAATATGTTGACTTAGTCATTTGTTTTTATGCTAAAATGTACGAACATTAACTAGATGTAATGCAGGAGGCATAAAATCAATGTCTAAATGGGGCTCATACCTGTGACTCACTCAATGTCCAAGTGACTCATACCTGTAATCCTAGGTACTCAGGAATCTGAGATCTGAGGATCACAGTTCAAAGCCAGTCCAGGCAGGAATGGCCATGAAACTCTTATCTCCAATAAACTACCAAAAAGCCAGATGTGGAGCTGTGGTAAACACTAACTTTGAGCAAGAAAAAACCTCATGGACAGAACATAGGCCCTAACTTTGCCCTAGGACAGATACACACACATATCACACACAAATCAATGTTAAATTCTGTTTTGGAAGTTTAATTGAAGTTCAGACACAATAAAAGATCCATGTAGAATAAATCAGTAAGTGAAAACTTTGTGAAAGAAAAGTTGAATTGGACCAGTGTATGATTTGAATAATCAGACATCAAACATTAGGGCACAGTAATATTGATCTGCTATGCTAGTTTTTTTTTAAGATAGTTATTTCTAAATGGTTCTTGTTGATTAGGAGAAAGACATATTGCTGGAACCAAAGTATCACAATCTTGATGTAATATCAAAGACCTTATAAAATATCTTTAAAAATAATTTTAATCTTTCTTGCAATAATTAATTTTAAGCAAACTTGCTTATTCAGTCTCATTGACAGTGAGGGACAGAGAGTTATGAATTGCAACCAAGTTTGTCTGTTCATCAGAAACCTTTGTTTATAATAGATTAACACAATTCATTCACCAATATTTGAACCAAACTAGAATAGTCACTATATCTAAAATTAAAACATTAAATATGCTATTTTAATGTTAAATCACATTAAACAATTAGCATGGTAAGATTATATATACATGTATGTGTGTACATATATGTGTGTTTATATTTGGTCTATATGAGACAATTTCTGCTCTGATAGAAGTAAAAAAGTCTAAGTGTAAATAAATATAAAAACAGAATTTTATTCTGAAAAAAATAGGGTACCAAAATATAAGATGGTTAGACATTATAGCCACTGTATTTCTAGGAGTCATAAGAACGTAAATAAACGGTCCTCTTCTTGCATCATATACTTGAGTCTAATGTTCATTTTTTTAAATTACATAGTACATTTCCCTCATTGTTGACGAAATTGGAAGTTATCAAAATAAGCTGCAAACTGGTAAGTTTGGACATTACATTAACAATGTAGACTAGCATGCACCTGTTTCTAGAGCCATTCGAACACTACTCTGATTGTGTTGTCCTAAATGAAGTTGGGAACTTTGATGAAAGGCTGACTACTAACTGCTTGTTACAAATTTAACCATTCTGTTGGCCGAATTAAATTTTAAAAAATGTACATTACCTCCACTGCTTAGAGATATCAATTCTTTACACATGTATAGCCAAATTCCACAAGCATATAAAAATATCTAAACTGCTCTCATCCATTCTCTTCTTCTGAGGCGAAGTACAGACAAGCAATTTAATTGGATAATAAATATGACAAGAAAGCTATAATCTGATGTAATCTGGAGACCCCACCCTCTATTTTCTTTATAAAGGTATCATTTCTAAAAGCCATTCATGAATAGATTAAGAGTAACTATTAGGTCTAGCTATTTATGCTTACTTGGGCTTTTAGACATTTTTGTGGTTAAAATTAGTTACAAGCTGCTATAATAGAGTTCAAGGCATCTTAACTTAAGAAAGCTTAATTGAAAGCAGCAGCCTATCATTTAGAGTAATACATCTCTATTTGCTGAGCCTCTATTTCCCTGTCTTAATAGTACAACATAGAAGCTATGGAATTACAAAATGTGTTATTCTGATCTATAACTTAAAAGAATGAAGACAGCTGTATGCACTTGACACAGAATTGTAAAGTTATTACTTTTCATGACATTGGGGATTGAACTTAGGATCTTGAGCATGCTAAGCATGCACTCCACTATGGAGCTAAATATCAATTTCCTAATATCTGAAGTTCAAATTGTGACTCCAGTAGGGAATTCTAGGGATTTTTTGTTTTTGTGTTGAATAAAAGTTTAATTCAGGAAACTGAATCAGCTGAATCAGCAGTTCCCCAGCTGTTTAGAGCATGGTTGCTAGACCCCTCCTCCTACTCGAGAATTTCATTAGTTCAGGAATGGAGTCTAAAATTTTCCTTTTTTATAAGATCCAGATGGTGCCCAGGTTGCTTTCTGGAGGCCACCCTTCGTGCCCACTGCCTTAGGGTATTGGAGAGGAGCAGATTAGAAAGGAAGGGGTTGGTGAGAGGGTCTTCTGTGCTTTTTAATGTCCAGAAATGGAAAGGGCAGTTCCAACATATTCTTGTACAATTCTGTAGTGTTCAGTACTATTTAGACAGTATGTCCTGAGAGCAGACTCCACTTTAGTGACCAGATTACCCACCTATTAACTGAATACTTAAGATTAATCTTTGCCTAGTAGTATACTGTATAAGCTGATAGTTTTATGCAAAACATTTTTGAGATGTACTCATGTTGTTCCTTTACCATAACTTACTTTGTTATGAGTAAAACTGCTGTGAACAAATTTTGGTGCTGTATGCAAATGTACTTTAATTATACTTTAATAAAGAATATCAGTAACACCATTGGACACTTTCAGATAAGCTAGTTATCTAAAGGAGTTGAGGGATCATAAATCCATTCTGCAAGACCACAAAAGACAAAATACAGAGCAGGTGAAGTAAGTACGTACTATATACTATGCCCTGTAGAAAAGTAACTAGGTGTTCTAGGCAAACCTCTACACCAATTTGGCAAAACTGAGTAAATAATTGAAGAGTTCAAGAAGCCATCTATGAACCTCAAACGTGGCTATCCCTTAGGTTCTAGTTTTAGGCAGAATCTGGGTATCTGTATTTTTTTCAGAACTTGCAGCTAAAATGCAGCCTGGTTTGAAAACTGCTAAACTAAATGACTACTTGTCTGGGCATTAAATGAGAAATTAAAAATATGAGGAAGAGGAGTATAATTAGTATTCATTGATTGGATATTATGCTAAACATTGTATTATTTTCATTTATTTTACATATTAGACCTCCCCCAACTCTTTAGCAATGAAAGATTCAGCTACTTATTTTCTCTTCTCAGGGCCTAAAAGAATGTCTTAAAAACTTGTGGAATTAACTAAAATTAGTAATTGTATGTTATTTTCCCTACAAAGTGCACACACATATCTGTATATAGCTCCTATGGAAAACAAGAGACTACAAGAGTTACTAGGACAGACCTTGAAGGATATACAGATAGGAGAGGGGAGTGAAGAAATTTGAGTAATTTTTTACAAATGAAACAGTAGGGGAATAGTACATTACATGACAGGTACTCCCTGAACATCTGCTTATTGAGTGTAAATGTAATGTAACTTGAACAATTTCACTCAAGCATGTTTATGAGCAGGTGAAAAAAAAGTCTAGCAGAGGCATGCTTTTATTTTACCATCACACATATAAAGGGAAACAAAATTAGGCAATAGTACACTTCCACATAGAGTAATCTTACAAGAATTTATACAATTTAGGAACAGATACATCAATTACTAATTTGTTATTAGAGCCAATTATCAAAATAAGCCACAATTTTATAGATTATTTTTCCACAAAGACAATAATTTTACAGATCTGATAAATACCAATTTATCCAAACTATGTTTCTAAGAATATAGTTTAAAAGAAACAAGAACAAGTTGAAAACTGTCATAAATATCCACTTAAGTCTTAATATTGTCCAAGAAAGACTTTTATTCAATTGCTGCCAAACAAAAGCAAAAGAAAGCTTGTTCAGCTAAGCTGTTCCAGTAAGCAGAAACAAAATACTAGATACTGGTAAAAATAAGGGCACAATATTAACCTTCACACACATGAGATCACATATAAAGTGAAAACATAACAAGTTTGCAGTTTCTTTAAAGAATCTCTAGGCAACATATTTAACATTCCAAATTCCCTGCAGTTTTTCTGACAATTCTGAAAAAAATATTTCTCCTCCTATCACCATGAACAGAATAATACTTGAAGGGCTGACTAGTCAGCCCAGTTTTCATTCTCAGCTCAAGTTTTACCTGGCTCATTTGTCTCCAGCCATTTCTGTTCCCCATACTTAAGGAACCCGTTACAATCTCCTTAGTTCTTTCATCAATTGTTATCATTATTCCATCCACCTCTTTCCATCTAGATCTAGCTCCCTTTAGTTCTTCACAACTTGTTAAGGCTAGGGAGTTGGGAAGAGAAGAGGCAATCACACTTCAAACAGTGGGAAACTCTCTCATCTCTAGAAATGACAAGGCCCAACATAAACTAAGCTGTCTACGTTCACTGATGTTTCTTAAGTATCTTAGGGGAGGAAAAAAAAAGAGGGAATGTGGACTGGGACTTTGCAACAGTCCAATAGGGGTTGGGATAGCTCACAGCAGGCAATATTTGGTAGGTAACCAGTGCAGAAAGAGGAATGGGGTAGCATAAATTACAAAGAAAAAATGGCCCACTGTTGTTGTCCCTTGACCATCATCAATGCCTATTGTGCACAGGCCTGAGCCGGTACTGCAGATACAGAGCAGGGTGAGTAGTAACAACGGGCTTCTAGACAAAGCTAGAAATCCAGGTGAGAGTAACCAAATTCAGAGGCCCTGGGAAAAACAGGGTGTGGCAAGGCAAAGGCAGTGCATTCTATAGCATCATTTGCTTCTGTTAGAAGTGGGTGTGAATCACGGATATGCAGCATGGAGCAAGCGTGCAGAATAGCAAGAAGGCCATGTGAAGTAGAGAAGCGTGACCACAACAGTTTCAGTCTTGAGATTGAGAGAACTCCAGGGAAGACGCAGAAAAGGTCAAGGGACCAAAAAAAAAAAAGCAGCATACTCATTGCACAGCAGTAAATAGAACTGGGCCTTGAGCAGCAGATGCCCAAAGGCAAGCGTTAACCGGACTGGAACCCGAAGGGTCTGGGGATCTCCACTGGCTCCCTTATTGGACGACGTCTGGGTCTACGGATTCCTTCACGTAACAGGTAGTACTGCAGTGGATTCGGCCACAGGTCCTCTTTGATAATCTCAGCAATTTTATCAGACTCTGGAAGGCTGTGGTCTGAGAACCAGGTGAAGAAGCTGCAGACGAGCTCTTGGTTTCTACGAATGAAGGACTGGGGTTCGTACCCTCGGCGCCAGATGATGGGGGTGGAGAGAGACACCACTCGGCCGGAGGATCGGACTTCATATTCCTTGACGATCAGCTTGTTTCTGAAGTAGGGGTTTCTTCGAAAGAAGAACTTAAACTTGCAGCCAGTTCTAGGGTGCCTGAGTTCCTTCACCTCCAGATTGGTGACGTACCTTAACATCTCGGCGTCGTGGCCCCGGATCATGGAGGTCAGCTGAGGGTGGTTCCGAAAGGCGGTCATCCAGAAGCCGGGGATGTTCTGAATGATGTAGTTCCTCCGCTCCAGGTAGTGACGCCGCATCCGCCCAAACTTCTGCTCCAGCTGTTGGAAGGCTCGATCGGCCTGCGCGTTCACGGTGTCCAGTTCCAGCTGGATGGCCTCCAGGGGGTTCATGCGGAGGTCTACGTTCAGGTACCAGTGTCCGGCCTCCTCCTTCCTCTCCTCCACCACCACCTCCATGTCTTCACCCCCGGGCCTGGCCTCCATTTCCGCGGCCTCCGGCGCCGCCCCCTCGGCCTCGGTGGGCCTCTCCTCTCCTCCCACGGCCAGGGCGCACGCATCGGGCTTCACGTCCTCGGCCTGCGCCTCCAGCAGCCCAGATTCCGGCCACTGCTCACCACCGGTTTCCAGATCCTTCTCTCCATCTTGAAAACAGTTTTCCAGGGGGCCGTCGGGGGCCTCCTCCCGCGGGCCTCCCACCGCCGCCGCACCGGGGCCCGCAGCGACTCCGGCCTGGGGGGGACGCCCACAGCCGGCGGGGTCCTGGGGTACGGCCCCCACCCCCGAGGGCTGGGCCGACGGGAACGCACCGGCCTCCGCCATCGCCTGCGGCGCCTCCATTTCCCCGCGGCGCTCCGGACTCTGGTCTGCGGCCTTCGGGGTCCCGGTCAGGAGTGGAGTGGCGAGGCTGCAGGTTCAGGGGAGAGGGGCCCCCTCCGGTGCCGCACAGACAGAACGACGTCAGGACAAGGCCCGCTCCCCTCCGCGGCAGCCGGAGCGGGATGCGCGCAACGCCCGTCCAACCGCCGCTCGCCCCGCCCACTGCCGGACGCCGCCGCCGCCGCGTCTCCAGGGCGCTGACGTCAGCGTGCAGACTTCGCCGTCTCGCGAGAGCTCGCTGCGCGAGGCGATTGGTTCCCTCCCACTCGGGTTCGCCCAGCCCAGTCCCGGGGAGCTTCTGCTGCGGGAGCGCTCGCTCGGGTCGCTTTGGTGAGCGTCGGCTCTTCCCCCCGGACCCGGGGGCCGTGACGACGCGCCTTCCAGCGCCCGTCCCACCGTGGGGACTGGGGCGACTGTAGGGTGCTGCCCCACGTCAGGCGAAAAACCTGTTCTCCCTCCGCCCCCTCTTAGGTTTTGAGGCAGGAGGACTAACATGTTACAAAAATCTACTTTTTTCCCCTCAGGCGAATGGCGAAATAGTTCTCCTTTCTTAAATAGGAGTGACACGGTAAATGTCTATTTTAGAGGGGCGGTGGTGGCCTGTCCTGATGACCCCCCCATCCCCCACCCCCACCCCACCTCCCACCCCTACCCCCACCCCTCCCCATCATACCCCCCTCCCCCCATCCCCGTGAGGCCGGAGAATCCGAGGTCAAGGCCAGCCTGGGCTCCACAGCCTCCCTGGATCACCGAAACGAACGGAGCCAAAAACCAATCCTAGCCTGTCAACGATATCGGGAGAAAAGGTCCACTCCATTGACGCTTACTGCTCAGCGCCGGTTCTCAATTGACGATCTACACCAAATGAGAGTTTAGTGCTGGGTAGCAAGGCAGGAATTAAATCTCAATTTCCAAATTTTGCTTCATACTCTTACACTACTAGGAAGAGGCTATATGTGTGTGTGTGTATCTGTGTCCAGACTGATTAATTTACTAATGTTCTGTAAAGGTTGGCACTAGTAAAATACCCACATGTGCAATCAGCTCATAGATCATCTGAGATAGAAGTTAGCATCTGATTATTTTACTTTGCTAAGCTATTATTACTGAACTAAGAAATAATTTTGCAAAATGCAACACGTAGCTAACTGGTTGATTCAGTGTAAAAGAAGCAAACTTTTTTTTCTCCTAGTAGATTTACTTTGTGTCATAGTCTGAAGATCCTCAAAAATATCCATATCTCAATTCTTATATGTGACTTTACACTTATGGTTAATTTGAGGTTCTGGAAATGGGAAATAATATTTCAATTATCTAGGTGGGTTCTGTGGAATTAAATGAACTTTATAAAAAGGAAATAGAAGTGGCAGGAAAGGCGTGATGACAAAAAAAATCTAAAAAGGGTTAGGAGAGAGCAGAGATAGATAACAAGGAAGAAAATAGAAATACTTTTTAACTTTTTGCTTTGAAGCTATAGGAAGGAATCAAGAGCCTAGGAATTTAAAGCAGCCTCTTCTAGAAACCAGAAAGGAAAGAAAATGGATTCCCCCCTACGTCCCTTAAAGGACTGATGATTTCATGACATATAACCTCCAGAGTTGAAAGATGATAGATTTTTGTCATTCACACTGTGACAAAACTGTTACAGATGCAATATGAAATGAATGCAGTGTGGAGCAAGGATTGGTGGGTTCTGTGCACATCCCAACTTGTTTCCATCGGCAGCTGCTGTCCTACCATGAGGTCTGGCACATGGCAGGCCACAATAACTCAGAACAGTGACTTATGGTTTGACTATCTTTATATATTAAGATCAGAAATACACTTAGACAATACAGAAGACAAAATTAAAGCCAAACATACCACAAAAGGGCATTGGAGAAGATTGAGCCACAAAGGGACAAGGTGCTGCTTTTACATTTATTGAGGTAGCATGAGTATTCAGGTAGATCCTACATAATATTTGTGGAATTTGGATAGCATAAACCTTAACAACACTAGAAAAGCTAATTGTGTGTCTATATTCCTATTAATTTTATTTGAAAGAGGAATTACATTTTGCCTATGCTTCATCTATTGCACTTTGGCACATGATGAACATTTGGCAATTCGAAATAAGCCTCATTATTCAGAAGGTAGTGAAATCTTTCCTAAGATTGTTTCTTTGGGAGAATATCAGCAGAAGAAATATCAAGGAATCATAGATTCTTCAGGAATGGCTTCACTGAGGGAAAAGAGTTTAACAAATTTTAACATTTTTGTTTTACAGAAAATGTTTTAAATAACTGTAATTTTTGATAACTTGTGGTATCAGTTACTTTTGTAACCACAATCCCATGCAGAATATCACTTTGTTCTTACAAGAATTCTGTGAAGTAATGGTACTGCAACCTTTGTTTTACTCTCTGTGGAAGGACACAAGGAGACTGAGTCACTTACCCAAAATACAATAGAAAATGAAAGACTAATGACATAAGAGTCACACTCTTTTTGTTGTTGTTGTTGATCATAGGACTTGAACTCAGGGCCTAGGCACTATTCCTAAGTTCTTTTGCTCACAGCTGGTGCTCTAACACTTTCAGCCACAGCACCACTTTCAGTTTTCTGGTAGTTAATTGGAGATAAGAGTCTCACAGACTTTCCTGCTCAGCCTCCTGAGTAGCTAGGGTTACATGTGAGCCACCAGTGCCGGACCAAGAGTTGGACTCTTATCTCTAATTAACCACCAAAAACCTGAAAGTAGAACTGTAGCTCAAAGAGTAGAGCTCTGTCCTTGAACGAAAAGCTCAGGATTAGTGCCTAGGCCCTGAATTCAAGCTCCACTACCAGCAAACACACACACACACACACACACACACACACACACACACACACACACATCAAAATAATAGTCTAACAATAAGAAATACAAATAATTTAGAGTAATATCAGCTTTAATATGGCAAGGCATTAAATTTCCTATTCAAAATGGAAAATTAGTCAAACATGTAGTCAACATGTTGTTAACACTATGTGGATGGAGAGTGACAAAGGTATGTGATAACACAATCTTGGTAAGTCCTAGAGAAATAAGATAAAAATGCTTCCCTTGATTGTAATGGCACTTGATTCCTTGTGGACAAAGATATGCATTTCCACTTTTAAGTACTTGTTAGCTATTGTACTCCCATTGACCCTCACAAGAGGGCGCAACTGGCCTTCAAGAAACTGATGTGTCTAGCCTTTGATGGAAGAGCTGTAGGATAGTGGTTCACTGTAAATTAGACATTCTTGTCAGTTAAAGTGAATCATAATCTGTTATTCCCACTATCCACAGTGGTTATAACATAGGTATCTCAAATAGACTTACGTTTACGGATGTTCAATAATCAAATCAGAACAAAGAATCCATTTGGATCTGCTATTCTGTAGTCCCCACCCAGTCATGGATTTGGTTAAGTGTTAGCTCCGCTGGCCATTGGATTGGGAGAAGCCACTTACCCCTGTTGCTGAGTTCTCTCATTGGTAAAATTGGAATTATAATACAGATTTTGCAGACCTACAATGAGGATGAAATAAGGTATGTGGAAATTATTTAGCATATATAATAACTTAATAGATGACTATACTTACATTTTATGCTAAAATTTACATACATCAGAATTAAGTTATTGGGCTGGGGTGTAACGATAAAGTACTTGCCTAATAAACCTGATGTCCTGAGTTCAAACCCCAGTACCACAGCCCCTCCCCCAATTAAAATATTGTACAAGATGTTAGTGCTAAATTCCAAATTTCTCTATATTATTAAGTATATATAGGAGTTTGGCTACGTTGTTGGACACTTCATGGAAAAAATGAGACTTGACTTTAATCCTACTTTGGGTAATAGTTAAGAAAGAAGTGCAGCTGGGTGCTGGTGGCTCACACCTGTATTCCTAGCTACTCAGAAGGCTGAGATCAGAAGATCATGGTACAAAGCCAGCCTGGCAGGATAGGCCATGCGACTCTTAACTCCAATTAACCACCAGAAAACTGGAAGTGAAGCTGTGGCTTAATGTGGTAGAGTACTAGCCTTGAGCAAAAGAACTCAGGGACAGCACCCAGTCCCTGCATTCAAGCTTCATGATAGGAAAAAGAAAAAAAAAGAAAAGGAAAAAGAAACGGGGCATGAAGACATCACCCTCACACTTGCCACTGCTCCAGCTACTTCTGTGTGCATTCCATACATGTACTGTCTAATAGAATAACCACTCGTTACCTGTGGCTACTATATTTAAACTATTCAAAATTAAATGAAAATTTCAGCTCATTTATTTAAAGTACTCAGTAACCATATCTGGCTAGAGGCTGTTATATTTGGAAATCATGCAACATTCCATCATGACATCATTTATTTTATCGACTAGACAACGTTGCTCTAGACATAGTATCTTAGGGTGGGAGAAAAATGGAAATGCTGGAAATAAAAGGACATTGAGATAGCAGGCCCACACTACATAATGTGCTTCAAAAAGAAAAAAATTAAACTTTCTTTTAGACTTTGGATCAAAAATTCAATTTGTAATTTGAAATAAATATTCTAACTCAATGTCTCAAACAATACCATTAAGATGATCCAAATATTATGGCTCTTCACCATGAAACTTACAGCTTTAAAATTAGTTATAAAAATGTCTGAGCCAGATGGCCAATAGACACATGAAGAAATGCTCAACCTCCCTAGCCATAAAAGAAATGCAAATCAAAACAACATTGAGATTCCACCTCACCCCAGTTAGAATGGCTATAATCAAGAACTCTAAAAACAACAAATGCTGGAAGGGATGTGGACAGAAGGGAACCTTACTGCATTGTTGGTGGGAGTGTAACTTGTTCAACCACTTTGGAAAACAGTATGGGGGTTCCTCAAAAAACTCCACATAGAGCTCCCCTATGACCCAGCAATCCCA